TATCACAGAACAAATAATCCTCTTGAATTCACATACAGTCTTGAATGTGCATTCAGATTGGTGGGGCAAAGGAGTGCATTCCAGGCACTAAAGGAGAGGAAGGGCCTGTGTATTTAGGTCAGATGCTGCTGGTGTGGCCTCTCAGGGAGCTTCCTTCACCATCTGCTGAGGTACAGGCTGCCATCATAAAAAAAGTACCAAACAGAAGCTTTGTTACAAAAGTGCCATTAAGTAATTAAAGGGATATAACCAAGTAAGAAGATGGGAAAAGATTAAGAATACTTGGGATATAGTGACACTGAGTTAATAAAAAAAAAAAATTAGGAGATTCTCCAACATTTCAAAAGACATCACCAGCCTGTATTCTAAACAAATGTGGTAAGAAAATGCAGTTAATGGAAATATATATATGATGGCTACAAACCCTAGATAGAAAACCATAGGTTTTCTATGATCTATTTTTATTTGTAAAGAGATAAAAAGACTTAAATTACTCCAACATTACATATCACTCAAAAAACAAGACAAAACAGAACCCCTAACATTTGGAAAAAGTAAAATGCCTTCAGGAGAAATAAATAAATCAAAAGGTTCCTAGAATCAAACATATACAATCCATGTAGAAAGACAAACAGGTAAAAACAAATTTAATATAAAGCAGAATAGAAACTAAACACCAAGTACTATAGAAACAGTGGGGACAAGGGGGAGACCAACTTTTGTTTAATGTTGGATCAAGTATTCACAGAGAGTGAATCTGAGGGGAAAAGTAGAAAAGGTGAGTGAGAAGAGACAGATGTAAAAAGAAAAAGAGCAAATCTTCAGGTTCAGATAACAAAGTTAGCAAAGTTACAGAGAACTGAAAATGTGTTACATATTATGCGGGATATCTCATATGATTCAAACCCACTATGTATGTGCTATGGTGAAATCAGAGGGGTGGATACACAAGAATGGAAAACTAATGCCAAACATCCTTTTACAGACTTAAGTAGGTAGCTCCAGTAACTTAGTGGTAAGGAATTGAACAGCCAACTCAAAAGTACACAGTTCAAATCACCAGCTGCTCTTCAGGACAAAGATGGCAATCTTCTCCCATGAGATTTACTGCTGAAAACGCACTGAAGGGTCATTGGGTCAGTTACAACGTGACACTATACAACAAGAGCAAAAAAGGAATAAAGAAAGAGGAGATTTGGAGAATTTAACTGCATTTTAGGCATGCCAAATGTGCAGTGATCATAGACTATGCATCTATATGCAAAAATATCAAACCCACTGTCATCAAGGTAATTCAGACTCACAGAGATCCTCCAGCAGATTTTTGAGGGGTTACAAATCTTTAAAGATGACTGCCCATCAAATCATGCAGAGCTGTTATTGGTGGATTTGATACCACTGACTTTTCACTTAGCAAAGAAACATGTAAATACATCATGCCACAAGAGCACCTTTGACGTATAGGAAGGCAAGAAAAGTCTTGGTCTGAAGACATATCTAACAGAAACCAGGGCTTAGGAATAATTATACACAGGAAAAGAACAAATGGACTGAGAACAGGGGCTTGACAAGAATCCAGGAATAAGAAAAAGTCAAGCAAGAAAAGAGGGAAATTTTAAAAACAGCATTAAGACCTAGTAAACTGGTAGACTTGGCAAGTGTGTCAAGAGTACTTTCAGCCAAATTCTGGTGACAACTACAGGCATTTAAAAAGTAAATGAATGGTTTGAGAAGCCAAAGAAAACCCTGGAAAACATTTCAAGGGTCCTTAGCTGGGGATCCCACAAACTCAGCAAAGGAGACCAGATGACCACTTTCAGTATTTTAAACAGTCATGTTTAAGAAGAGAAATCTACCCTTCACAAAGCTACAAATGGACTAAGCTGTTCTGAATCTCTAATTAGCCACTATACATATACAGATTTCACAGTGAAAGTATGAATCACTGTTTTATGGATGCCATGTGTTTGGTGACAGACTCTCTGGCACTAGACCACTGATAGCAATGAATAAGGAGTTATTAAGTAAAACACTGAAAGGGGCTCCTGGAAGAAAGCCAGCCCTGAAGAGAATTAAATGCCATGTGGGAGATTTGGGGCAGGCAGCTCTGGGAGAGAGTCTGCTGTTGTTACAGGGCTTCCTTGCTAGATTTTGTTTTCATAAGTCAGATAAGGGCAAGATGCTAAGCCAAGAAATTGCAGAAAGAAATCTACTGCACTATCACTGTAAAAAAGATGAAACAAGAGGGAAAAGTATTGACCTTACAAACATAACAGAGTTCTAGAATAACTTACAAGTGTGAAAACAACATATGCATTCTCAGTTCACCATAAACACACAGTGGTGGGAAGTACAGTTGTCATCAGAAAAACATGAACTCAAATTTCTGCTACTGTACACCCTTTCAAGTTAGCTTCTCTGAAGATGTTTCATTTAATGAGAGTAAACTTTAACCCATAAGTTATCAGAAAGATCAGAAGAAATATGAAAAATTCTTAGGACAGGAAGTACCTAGCACAAGTGAAGCACTGAAGAGTCAAAACCATTAATATTAAAGTAAAACAGACCATATATTTGTCTGGCCTTTCGTTTGAGAAAACTCATATGCCGAAGCAAAGGAAAGATGCATAAATATGGATGCACAATCCAATAAAGCTTTTAAATATACAAAGATATAAAGGTAAGCATCACAAGGGGGAAAAAAACAACTCAGAAGTTTGTACAGAGCTGCCTGTCTTTGTCTATATAGGAAGACCTGGGGTGTATGTTGTGCTCAGTTCCAGACTACCACAATAAAGTATCACAATCAAATGATTCACACATATTTTTGTGTCTCTGAGTACAAATAAGTTATGTTTATACTCTAGTGTAGTTTACTAAGTATGCAATAGCAATATGAAAATATTTCAAGAATTACCAAAGGAGGCACAGAGACAGACACAGACAGACTTGCTCAATGTAGGCTGGCCACAAAACTTCAGTTTGTCAAAATCGTAGCAGTTGCAAAAAGCATGATAAAAAGCCAAGTGCAATAAAATGAGGAATGGCTATTCAACAAAAAGAAAACAACAGAAGAAACACCTGACAAAATATCTGCTTTGTAGAAATTACCCTATTGAAGAATCCAGAGGTAATAATGGAAACATGAGTCAACATGTGACTGAAAACATGAGGCATACTTAGATCTTTTAAATGTACAAATGTAGTTAATACTAGACCAAGCTTAGATTAAGTAAAGACCAAGTGTCCTTACTAATGCCTTTGACTGTGGTGTTGGAGAATAGTAGTAAATATTCCATGGACTGCCAAAAGAATGAACTAGTCTTTGAGGAAGTACAACAGTGTGCTCCTTATAGGCAAGATAATTAGGATTAGGGAATGTTGTCCAGAAGGACTAGTACTTGAAGAAAGCTATCAAGCTTGACAGCGGAAGAGTGGAAGACCTTCAAGAAGGACGGATACAGTGACTAGAAAAATGAGTTTGAATATATGAGAGAGTATGAGGATGGTGCAGGATAAGCCAAGTTTCAGATCTGTAGTTTATAACTGGTTGAGAGTCATGGCCTCAAACAACAGTGTCCTCACAGAAAAAAAAAAACCAACAAAAAAACTATGACAAAATTTGAAGTACTCAGTTTTCATGACCCTAAACCAATCTTTCTCATATATGGAGGAAAATCTATGACTAGCTACTATAGTTTAAAAAATAAAGTATTACATTTAAAAAATTAAAAATTACATCATACTTTCTTATATTAAAGAGAATGATGGCTAAGATTTATTCAAAAGAGGTGCTGCAGAACCATCTCCTAGAGGAGGCAGGCAGTAGTGACCAGGAGATCACATGGTTAAATGCCTGCATTTCCCAGTGTTTCAACTCCAGTCCAATAAGCAGTTTCAGTAAAATTTTATCTGCTCTGACATAGCTAGGCTCCAATTTATTTTCAGACTTTCTTTATAAAACTGAAAAAGAAATATAACCTCTAGCGAAATCTCTCACCTACTTTTACCAAAAGCAAGAAAATTTTGGCAAAACTGTATTGCCACTTTTAACTGGCATATTTCATTCGTCAGTAAAATACTAAAGGTATTATCATCTGAATTTCCTTGGCTTTTCCGTATCTTTCAAGAAATTCTAACCAAAAGTTCAGGAATGGACAACATCATGTTTTGCAACATCTCTGGTACAATGTCTCTGGTTCCTGTGCCCAAGACAACACAGACATTGCTGCTGGATCAATGCTAAGCTGAACAAGAGAGTATACAATCCTTTGTGATGTAAGATTGGTGACTGAAGTAAAGCCAATTTGTTAACACTGCTGTAATGTTATTTTTGTGTGTAGTACATGCGGAATTATTGGCTATGGCAAGCAATATACTTAAAATACCAATTTATTCAGGATTTTTTTTTCTGGTTAAAAATTCTGATTATCAGAACTATTGCTATTATATAACAGTAACTTAATTAAAACTAAAAAAGGACTGTAATAATTATAATCCAAATTAAAATTGAACATAATTTAAATCTACCTCTAAGCTATAAAGAAAGAATTTTCATTATTTCTTACTAACAGGTAAAGGCAGAGTTAAAGATTAGAATATATATAATCCTATATGATAACATAATATTGAGGGTAACTTTAGATATACAATTTTCATTTTGGAGTAAAAATGTAGAAGAAAATAGAGTTTCTGATAGTTCAGACCTCAAATAAATGGGATTTTCTGTAATAAACTTAATTGTTATTTTTGGATGTAGAACTGTTAACAAAATCCCAAAGGGAAAATAAATGTAGTAAAAATAAGGAAATATACTACAATTTGACAAAGTGTAAAGAGAAAATAAACAAAACTAGTTGTTTAATGGGTCACTACCTTACTGTGATTTAAAAATAACACTCATCAGCTAAGTCATCTGAGGCTTTTATGCCCACCACCCCACAGAAAGCAAGACCAGCCAAGATATGTACTTCAAAAAATTTCTAATAAAAATGTGTTACCTGTAAATTGTTTTCTGTGACTCTGTTCCACCAAACCATATTGATGGGTACTCCTGATTTACACCTGTCAGCAAGGCAGCCAATAGGGTTCTTTGTTTTTCGTGCCTTTGATCCCATCGGAACTAGCCTCTCCTCCAGCATCCCCAGGCGATACTTCCTTGGCTAGGAAAAAGAAGGAAAGAAACCAGGCCACTCCTAACATCCCCAGACTAATCTAAACTAACATAACTGAAATGTAGAAGCTATTGGGAATGAGAGAATGGTAAATGGGGACAATTTCTAAGACATCCCCTCTAACATCTTATCACCTCCCACCATCTCCCACCCCCACCCCATGTCTCCAAAAATTACCCACAGTCCTAAACAATATTTAATAAAACTGATGTTTTAAAAAATACATTATAATCTGATTTTATAGACTTATAAATAGACGTTAGCTTATCAGCAAAGTAAATGTTTTGCAAATTATCTTCCACTGACACTTACCTATTCTCACTGCAATATGAAGAAATGGCTTCAAAGGCACAAGATAGAGGGGTATATATATTATTTTTTAAATTATCTAAACTATATTTTTCTCATCCCGCTCTTACTACCTTATTTGCCACTAGAATTTTCCTATTTTAAAAGATTTAAGAAGAACATGTCTCTTCAGGAATGGACTCGATACATCAGTAAAACTTGACTTCACTCAATGAAAATACACTGCAGACTAAAAAAATGAAAGTAAACAATTTCTCTGAGGTCAATGAAATCACAAATTGTGTTTAATAAATCATGAATTATTGTTTAATAAAATAATACATTCCTTGGCTAGCATTATAAGGTCATTAAGCAATCTTCACTGTGGTAGGGAAGGCTTTTGTTTGTGCATGAAAGAAAATGACGGTTTCCACCACCTCACTTTTCCAAAATTGCATTAAAGTTGTACTACTCTTTAAGGGTATGGGGCTGTATATATGTGTGCGTACAGGTGTGGGTGTATGTGGCAGCATTTATGGGTATATATCTATGTGTACATATGGCGGGATTATGTTATGGTGTGCTGTGTACACACACACACACACACAGAGACACACTCTGTCCCCTTCAGAGAATACTGATGCCCGTTTGGGCAGGCATCTGATTTAAAAGCTGAAAATAAGAAGGTCCTTATACACTTACTACTGAGTAACAAGACCACTGAAACAATTATCTAAGTTCTTCCAAAAAAATAGGAAGTTCATTGTCAAATTAAAAATTAAAAAACAAAACTTTCCATTAGTAGCCAACTAGCAGAAAACACTTCATTTCTAAATTTCAAAGTGACCTGGAAAATTATGCAGATGACAACTATCCTATGCAAACTATCCATTATCCATTCTACACTAAGCAAGTCTCCACTGTAAGTTATTTTTATGCATGGGGGTAGGAGGAGGGGAAATCACAGAACATTTAGAAGGTAACTATAGTAACCACCTGTCAAAAACTACAGTAGTGGATAAAGTTCTATGAGGTTGAAATATTTCTACTTCCTTGTAATTTTTAACAAATTCATTCTATGAATTCATTGTTTTGTTGTCTATATTACACAGATACAGACATAAAAGAGAGTAATTTCTATGGATAAGAATATGTACCTTTGATGGTTCATGCTATGGAAATACACTGTAAGTCAAAGAATTTTAAAGCAGATTACTTCTAGTAATGTAATTCCAGAAAAGTGTAGGCCAAAGTAATGTCAATTTTTGCATACAAGTACATAGATAGATATAAAAAGGCTTTGATTCACAGGAAAGTAACATAATCTAATCAAGTCTTTACTAACTGACTCGATGGCAGGTAAGAACAATAGCAGCAATTTAAAATACATGTCCCAGAAAATTTCTACACTACAGATTAATGCCAATTCTATCCTATAAAAGGAACAATACATCAAAGAATACTTACTTAACCAAAAGCACAACCTCTCAAAAATGACTAACAGAAAAAGCAAAACAAAAGGCACTGCCATTGAGCCAATACAAACTCACAGCAAACCAGCTGGACATAGCTGAACTTCCCTTAAGGGCTTCCAAGGCTGTAAATCTTTACAAGAGCAAGCGGACTGCCCTATCTTTCTGTCTCAGGATGGTTAGTGGATTCATACCACCTACCTTTTCGATAGCAGTCCAATGCTTTTACTGGGCTTCTTGGTCTAATACAAAGAATCCTAAATCCTGCCAGATACTTGAAAGTAATAAAACTACTGTTTTAAATGGGTTTCTGCAATTTAGGAGCTTCACAAATTTAGATTCTCTCTTGACCCAGTTATTAAAATTACTGAAATGTGTTGCCTGTACAGGAGTGAATTAAGCAATACAGAAAAAAAGGAGTTTAAAATACAATGAATGTATTATTCTGCTCTTCAACAACTCTTTATGTAATTATGGCCTTTCTTTTGCCAAAGAAAGATTCCTTACGCCTCTCTCTACTATATCCTGCCGAAGAATTTAGCCCAAATTCTTCCAAATTTGTGTTATAAAGATATTAAACTCCCAACCAAAAGTAAAACCTTGTATGTAATAAATACTGGACCAAAAGATCTATGATATCAGTACCACTTAAAATAGCACCACAACCAACAAAATGCATAATGACAACCAAGAAAGGAGGAGAGCAATACAAATCATGAGAGATATAACACAGATGTGCCATTACACACCAAATTACAGTAAGTCTCATCAGTAAGGTAACTTCCAAAGTATGTGAAAAATTATACTTCAAATAAAAAAAATGTATTAGGCATTTAAAAGCCTGCATAGTATGTGAAACAATTCTAAATGCTTTAAACAGAAAAGATTAATTAAAAAGATACCTTTCCCTCAAAGAGAGAAGACAATCTACTAAGCAACAGTCATACAAACAAATCCTAACTGTGATGACAGATGGTATAAAATGCATACAACCAAGGTAGCAACAAAGCAGAGACAACGATGATGTCACAGAAGAGCCTCCTGCCCGAATAATGTCACATTCCATCAATCTAAAGCTATGTAAATCCATTTGCTTCAGAGATATAAAGAAATAAAAACACCATGCCAAAGCTACTAAAATATTTTAAGTGAAAGAAAATAAAAGGGTTATTTCAGGAAAGTTATTTCCACAATAAACTATCAAGTATACTGATCATAAAATTGTTTCTGTTAAATTCAGCAAAAGTACTAATCTATGTTAAAATGCCTTTTGGCTTATTAGAATAGAGTTTGTTTTGCTTTCATTTACACATGTGCCTCTGCTTAAAATCAGTCTTGAAACAATGCAGAGTATCTTCAATAATGTGTTATGTTTCCATGAACTTAAGACAGTAGTTAATCAAAAGCACTATGCCAAGTACTTCAAACTCATTAAGGTATTTATTATACACAATAAATCATATTGGCGATATTATATCTGCCTAACAGATGAGCAAGGCTTAAAATGTTTAAATAACCTGCTTAGGAGTTCACAACAAGCTTAAGGGGTGCTTCCAGAGGTGAGATTCTAACTATGGTAGTCTGCTTCCATTCTAAGAAAAATACTTCCCATTCTCTAACAGTCATTTAAATACTGCATTCTGCTTGTCCTCCAGTTAATAACAGAGGACCACTGAGTAAGAGTCATCGACTTATTCACACAAAATTAACAAATTCCATCTCACATTTTTAAAAACCAAGGAAAAAACCTCAGTTTTAACAGAGTTGGGATGAAATCATAAGGTTTTGGTTAAATTTAGGTTAATCTATTTGTGGATAAAGATTCTAAGTTTGTCTTCACTAAATAATTTCATTCCCTACTTGTACTTCCTAGGTAAAGAGGACTATAAACCATGAGAAAGGCAAGCTCTCAGTCCTTGCTATTAAACACTGTGGATATGATAGTCAGAGCAGACTATGACAAAAAAATCAATCAGATCACCACTCAGAATTATGTACTGATTCCTAAGTTCAAATGGGAAGATGTATCCTGGTTTTACTAAAGCTATCATTATTATGTAAGGAAATGCACTCAAATTCCCCCAAATTATAAAGAGAATATTACTACAGCTAACAATATTTCATATTGAGTCTAAAAATGACACACACACTTCCATTCCCATCCATTTAATTATTGGAAAGTGTCAATGCCACATGAGCATATGCACCGCAAGGAGGAAATACATAAGGTTCCTGCACTGCAGTCTCCCACTCAGAGTCCTGTTCTCATCACTCACAACAAAATTCCCTTGTAGTCATGAACCTGAAGGAGTTTTTTAATTCAACAAAAATATACAATCATTTTATACAAAGTATCAATTAAAATGAATTAAAAAAAAAAAGGTTTAAGAAAGCAAAGATGTTACAGAAAATCAAAGTGCACCTGACGTAAGCCCTGGGCTCCTCAGGTGCCGTATCTGTCTCAGAAGGCAGGACAAGGGGTAAGAAAGGTGAAAGAGGTAGTGATATCATTGAATATTAAATACATGTGGAATGCCATAAGAATAAATGTATCTGTTTTGGAAGAAGCAGAGCCAGACTGTTCTTTAGAAGCTAGGATGCTGAGACTTCATCTCAAGTGATTGAGCATGCTATCAGGAGGGACCAGTCTCTGGAGAAGGGCATCATTCGTCCTACGTAAAAGGGTCAGACAAAAGAGGAAGACCCTCAATGGGATGGATTAAATGGCTACAACAATGGAATCAAAGCAAGAAACAATTGTGGTGGGGCACTGGACCATGGGCCCTCTAGTTATAAGGTGGTTATGAACTGGGACAGACTCCTTGGCACCAAAAAACAACAAAAGGTGCATGGTTGAATCCCTCATTTGAAACAATGACATTGATTTAGTTCTTTCTAAAGCATATGTTTATCTCAACTCAATTCTAGAAAGTCCATTTGGATGACAAAATCATAACAAGAAAACACAAACTATCATAGCTTCAAACAAGTTTTTATCCAATGTTACCTTTACAGTATTTTAAGAGAGCAAAAGGCTGAACCTGGAGATAACCAAAAGGAAGATCGCATTTTCACTTGCCAAATGAAATGCAGAGGAGAACAAGCACAAACAGCCATGTGTTAAAAGGAAGCTGATCACTCATAAAACATGAGCAATAAACACGACAGTGGATCCAAATCAAAGGAATAAAATAATCAACAGTCCCCTCATTTAAAAATCACTGACTC